CCCTCAAGCATGCTCTATATAGTACCTCCGGTAAGTGTGCTCCGCGTCTAGGAACACCACAAGGTAATCACGTTCGCGTTCAATTTCGAGCAGCCACATATAATGCGATGTCGCTCACGGAGGCGAAGTCGAGGAGGCTGAACAGACATCAACGGGATGAGAAGCGTCGGCGCCTTCAACGCTTGCGCGCGCAATTTGATACGGTTCCTCACTATTCGTTGGCCTGCAGGAAGCTAGAGGACGGGGGGGTCAGATGTGGTCTGCCGGGCATATCGCGATGAGATTTGGAGCGGATGCTGGAGGCCATGGTTGCGCACTCTTGGTGTCTACGACGATTCCATCTGCTGTCGGGCGGCAGGATTCCTTTCTGGCGGAACCACGCCTCCGAGTTTTCACCAGTCTCCCACGCGGTTACTGGTGAAGGTGTCTGCCCCCCATCTCCACGTTCGGATTCTCGTCGCACGTGCGCCCCAGCGGGGGCGGCCAATTGCAGAGCGCAGAGAGTGGTGGGCATTTACGTCTGATCTCCTGGAGCAATGCCCCACGGACATCTCGCTCATTGATGCGAATGCGAAGGTGGGCGCCGCTGCTTTGGACTCCCCCTGCATTGGTGACGGACCACCGCATGACAGGTTGGATGAGTCGGGACGTATGCTGGTCGATTTCTGTAAGTTGTATCAATGTCGGCTGTATAACACGTTGGTTGGAAGTGGGTCAGACTGGACATGCACTGACGGACAAGTGCGGGTGCGAAATGATTGTGTTTGTTTGGGTGAGTCTTGGTATGACGTGTCTGTGGGCCTGCATATCATTGACGACTAAAAAAACTCCTTAGAAAATGGATCGCATACAAATAGTTTTGCGGACTTAGCTCGAGAAGCAGACTCTGTTCAGAGCTCTAGAAGCACATCCATTACAGTTGTCGAATGAAAACAAGAGGGCCCCGAGACCAGGCGGAAGTCCAGCGAACAGTTGGAGAAGGAAGCTCCTGGGCAGTGGTTTCAATATGCTAATGTACAATCTCACCACCTGGCCGGCGTCATCAAGTCTGCCGCCCGCACGCACTTCGCGAAGGACATGTTCGCGCCGCGCCAGGACAAGATCCCCCGCCACGCGATGCAGTTGATCAGATTGCGACGGTTTGTGCAGGTAGCCAAGCGGAAGTTGAACCGGAAATAACATCTGTTTTCTTTAACTTGGCCAAGTTTCTCCCGCTTCAGTTTGGGTCGTTTGCTAACGAAGGTGATCCTTGGTTTAGGGGAAGCACAGCGTATCCTTTTAGGAATTCAGCTACACACGAGCGGGTTGTGGACGGACCACGAGCTGCAGTCTCAGCTTGAGGCATTTCCCAGGGATACATCCACAATCTTGAAACACTGCCTCGCAAACGTGAAAGATTCCAAGTTGGACAGGTATGCCGGCGAGGTTGGTGAGCATACTTTGCCAGGTGATCATCGACGGGCTTGGCAGAGTGCAGTGCGTCTTCTGCGTTGCGGTGGACGACCCCATCCTCGTTTTACTAAATGGGCGTTAATTGCCATGCCGTCTTGATGATCCTGGCGCCGCTATAACGTCCGGACAAAGAAATGTGCTATAATCGCATGGGGGCCTTCTCCAAGCTGGAGACGCCACAGTTCTTTCGGCGGCGCAGTATATTGTTTTTTTCTGCAGCAACCAAGCACAATGCTCCAGAAGGCGCCCCTGTCGATTGACTTGGCCCCCACGCACTTCGACATCGAGAAGCGCTTGCAAAAGGGCCCCAAGCGGTAAGCGCGCGGTACAGATGGGGTGCGCGAAGAGGTCTTGCAGGCGGCATCGCACTCCATTGCGATGTTATTCTGCCCGATCATGGTAAAGGCGCGCATCACTGGGTTCGAACCCATCGCGCACAAGCGCAGCCGCTTGGTGGAAGTATCCAAACACGGTGGGGGCCCTCACATCAACAAGCGTTATCGGGCGGTCACGGTCTGCAACGTCTTTGCGAAGCACCGCTGCAAGCTCGTTCGGGAGCGCCTGGCCTACACGATTGATTGTTTACTCCGCGACTCACAACTTGGTTGGCGTCCGCGGCGCTTTCCTGTGGTGGCCTCGCATCAGGCGCATCTGATGTCAGATATTGCGGCGGAGAAGGGCACGGCAGAAGCATTCATATTCCTGGACCTCCGCGCAGCTTTTCACCGTAAAATTCGACAAATGGCGAGTAAGATGGAGTAGTTGGAAGATGAACCGCAGACGATATTGGACAACAGCGACATCCCATTATGTCTTATGCCGTTGGTCGAGGATATTCTCAGTCAGCCCGCGCTTCTCGATCATGAAGACGTCGACCCACATTTGGCGCGTCTTGTGGCGAAGTCGCAGCGCCTAACATTCCTCGAGGTGGGTCACTGCGACAAGCTGGGAGCGCCGACGCGAAGTTCTCGACCAGGGTGTGGCGCCGCAGATTATTTGTTCAACGTTGTGTCCACACGTCCGCTTAAAGTGACCGAGGATCGGTTCGCAGAGCACGGTCTCCTCTTTAAATTTGATGACGCTCGCGACCGCCCTGAGATCTGTCGCGCAGCCGGCGACGCAACTTCGCATATGGTTGACGTTACCTACGTCGACGACGTCATGACTCCCACCGTTCTTGAGAACCTGGAAGTTATCCGACACCTACACAACACTATGGGCATCTTGCATGAATCATTCGTGGCACATTTCATGGAACCGTACTATGGACGAGGCAAGGCGGGTGCTCGCGTACAGTTTCGAGGGCCACATCGTGATCTTCTGCGTGCCACCCTTTATCATGACGAAGCCCAGGTCCCGGCCAACGAGCGGCATGGGTTTGAATCCTATGTGGCTCGACAGTACAAACACATGGGAGTTATTATCTCCTTCGACGGATCCATGCGACCTGAGATCGCGCGAAGAGTTCAACAGCAGGACCATGCTCTTGGTCCGATGCGACGTGCCATCGTTCCCAGGATGTTGGTTTCGGTTACGTCCAAGGTCCGCTACATCGAGGCTCTGGCAGGTTCACGTTTCTTCGACAAGTTGGGATTTGGCGCAAATCTTGGCGACTACGACGAGGGGCGCTTTCATGCTGCGTATATGAGGTCACTACGTACTGCGACTTCCCTAGCACACCTGGTGAATGATGTCCACCACTACTCGGATTTGCAGGCTTTAAGTCACACTAGGCGAACAGACGTGAAGGCCATTCGGCGCACTCGCAGACTGAAGTATTTTGGACGTGTGCTCAGTAGTGGACCACAGACGTTACATGCATTGTTGGACATTCGGGGAACTGGGGGAACTGAACAGTCATGGTTAGGAGAGGCCTGGGATAATGTTCTTTGCTTGCGCTCAATGTTTCAGGATTGCAATCACCTGGATTATCTGGTAGACTGGGTCTCCACTATTCGTTCCCAGCCTCGTCAATTTCGGAACACGTGTGTCATGACATGGCAGAGGTACACGGAAGCTCCTCAAGATAATTTGCAAGTAATTGTATAGAAGAATCCCTTCAACGTGTTCTGCCTCATCCTCCTGTACCGCCCCCAGATGATGAGCCTTTCCTCTGTTATGAGTGTGGCGCCACATGTGGGACAGCACGTGGATGGAGGGCTCGCCGCACACGTTGCCATTCCAAATTCCATGGTGCGCGATACTCTGCGCCCTCTGGCTATTGTGCGGGCTGCGACACGGACGTCCGCACAGTGATCAGGCTTCTATACCACTGGCGCTACCGAGGTGCAGGATGTCTCGGTCTCCTTCGAACGCTTCAAGACCCTCTGGATGGTGAGGAGGTAGCTCGTCTAGATGCGGAAAATCAACGTGGTGTTTCTGGCTTGCGTGCTGAAGGTTATGGCGAGTCCAAGGCTATGCAACCACCAGTGCGAGGTCAATTGCGGCGTCGTGGACGTCGAGAACATGGGGGCGCTGGTTTCGAGCTTCCAAAATATCACGTACCACCTGTTGCTACTGAGCATATGTTGCTTGGAGTTCGTTTTTGGTTTTAGCGGTTCTGAAAATGATGTTTGGCACTTGTATGAAATTCGGACTGACGGTGGTGAGCATGGCGGCCCCATACCCGCACGATGCTGCCAAGGATTCCATGTCCGACGGTTTGACATTCGGACGATTGATATTCGGAGTGTGAACATATTTGGGGTTGATAGCGGCACTCTCAAGCCCATTCTTGAAGGCACGGCCTTCGCGATATATGGTAATGTTTGTTGCGTTGAGTACCAGGTGACGAACGGGATTTCTTCTGATGTACATGAGCCAGCTCGTACCCAGCGACGCTTTGCAGCGACAGTCTTCCACTCCATGGTACTGCTCTTCCATATTGCGAAGGCCACGGGCATTTTCTTTCACATGAAGGCGGATGTCGCGATGTGGCCGCTGCTTGGAGTTTTCATGTCTGGACAGCCTGGTCATACACTGTCGACGGTCGGTGAGTTCGAAGTGATCGACGTCGACGTGTTGGCCCGCCGTCTGCGGGAAGGTCCTTCGGCGGTGTAGCCAGGACAGAACAGGCTGGGATCATGGACCTCGTGCTCATCGTGTGCGAGTTCCCCCTCGGCGCGTCGCTGGAGGCGGTGGCATCTGAGGGCTGCTGCCGTTAGGGCGGCAGTCAGCCCCCCGTGGAGGAGCAGTGGGGCCCCCCCCCCATGGGCCCATCGCCTCCCCGGGGGGCTGTGGCGCCGACGATCGTTGTCGCCGTCGTCGTGTTTCGGGGAGGTTGAGGCGATGAGGAGGAGAGGGGGCAGGTTGGTCGACGACGGCGATGCTGGCGCGTCCGCGGCCGCGCGGTCGCGGGCGCGGTGTGTGCGACACTTCGGGATTTGTCTCTTTACCGGGAACGCAGCAGCAGCAAGGGCTCCCCGAGGTCTTGTCCTCAACGCCACCCCATCTGGATGAGGAGGTGCGCTGGGACACCCGCGCGAATCGGCGGTCTCCTGTCCCGCCGTGCCGCTCCCCGCCTCCCCCCCGCGATGCGCCCCCCCCAGGCGGCCAAGTCGGACCGCACGCCCAGGAGGGCGTTTTTGTTGGCATGCCCGGGCCGAGCCCGGGTGCCGCAGCGGCAAGAGAAGGCGACGGCAATGGCAGACGCAGCAGCGGCAGCGATCATGTGAGCGAAGCTCCTCGGGAGCGGCGATTCGTGCCCGCCTGCTCGAGGGTGCTTGCTCTGCGACGCTGATATCCAGCTCGCCGGGTCGCCCTGGGTGTGGTGCGAGGGGAAGAGAAGGTGTGAGGAAATGGGGATTGCCCGCCCTTCTAACCCCCCCAGTCAGTCCGCCGCCCTGGCCTTCCCATTCCCCCCTCTCGTTATCCCGCTGTCTCTCTCTCTCTCTCTCTCTCTCTTCAGGGCTTCCCCTTTCCCTTGTTTTTCCCCGTCGCCTTGGATCCCTCACCCCGTCTTCCTCGCATGCCCGGTTGCGTCCTCCTACAGCTCCCCTTTTTGTTTCCTTCCCGCCTTGTCCCTCCTCCGTCCCCCTCCCTCCGACCACCCTATGGGTATGGGCTGAGGAGGAGGAGGAGGAGGAGGAGGAGGAGGAGGAGGAGGAGGAGGAGGAGGAGGAGGAGGAGGGGGGAGGAGGAGGAGGAGGAGGAGGAGGAGGAGGAGGAGGAGGAGGAGGAGGAGGAGGACGAGGAGGAGGAGGAGGAGGAGGAGGAGGACGAGGAGGAGGAGGAGGAGGAGGACGAGGAGGAGGAGCAGGAGGAGGAGGAGGTGGACAGGGGAAGGGGGGATCACGGAATTTGCCGCGTGCAGCCAGTCCCAGCCCCGCCGCCACACTGATCTCCAGTCTCTTCTGCAAGGTCTCACAGCGTAGACCCGCCTTCCATCGCTGCAGGTGCAGGGTGCGAGTTTACAGGCACAGGTGCCGTAAAATTAGCATGCTCACGTTCTTATAAAGTGCACCGGCTCCCAGATTTGGCCTCGCCCTGGACTTCCCAATCTCGCCGTCCAGCCAGGAGCAGGCAGCCGTCGAGGCGCCGTGCGTCGACTCTCTCAGGCCGCCCGGGGCCTCCCGCTTGGAGACGGGGGGAGTAGCAGGCACTCGCCATGAAGGAAGGGGGTCCTGAAGGGTTTTTTGTCGTTCTTCCTCTTGGCGCAGCCCAGCCCCAAAATCTGGGCATTGCAACTGTTTCGCACCTGGCGTCTTCGTCAGCTTTCGGGACCAGGAGACTTCATGGATCGACCTGGCTCGAAAAGTGCAGCAGAAAGATGGCATCTGAGGCTCTTGTTGTGCTTTCTGTGATGTCGTTGTTTTCCCAACCATCCTGTGGTGTGAAGAAACGGTCCCCACCTTCCTCCTCCTCCCTCCTCCCTCTCCTCCCTCCTCCCCCTCCTCCCTCCTCCCTGCGTTTCACCCACCCAGTACAGAACCAGGCTTACAAGTTTATGAACCAGGCCTTACATGAAGGTACCAGAGGGCATTTCAAGTTACAGCGCGCGCTCCAGTTTGCAACTGGTTCAGCCGGCGGCCCAGCTGGCACAACTGCGCCCCGTCGCGTTTCGCCGGACTCCGCGGGGCGCCGGGTTAGACGACGTCGGGAGTGACCTCTCCGTGCCCAGGGGCATCCCGTTCTGCTTCTTCCAGGGGCTTGAGGGAGGTACCGCCCGGCCCCGAGGGTCTTCCCTCGGCCCCAGGCGTGCCCGCTACACCTACTCAAGCTTCCAACCTTCGGTTTCCTTGTACTGTCTCCATCGCTGCTCTGATTGGGGTCGTGCACGCCTGTCGTCTCCTCCCCTTCTTCCCGTTCCTCTTCTTTTCTTCCTCTTCCCTCCCTCCCAAGTTTACGTGGTCATTCACGGAGCTCGGGCTCTGCTCTGAAATTTTGTGTTTTCACGGTTACGCGCGACGGCTCGCCTATCGCAGGTTGGCCCGGACGCTGCACCATCTGTTTTGGAGCACATGGTTTTCTTCTCTCTCTATCTCTCTCTCCTCCTCCTCCTCCTCCTCCTCCTCCTCCTCCTCCGTTGCTCTGGTCGAGAGGATTCGTTTGAAGGAAGCCTCTTCAGGCAAGTAGTTGAGGTAGTTTGGATTATTAGGGTCGCGTAAGTGGCGGCCACAGTTTTGAGGGTTCGTTTGAAGGAAGCCTCTGCAGGTAAGTAGTTGAGGTAGTTTGGATTATTAGGGTCGCTTCGGTGGCGGCCACAATTTTGAACCAGAGTGGCTGTCTCAAGTGTGACCGCTTTGGTGCCGTGCACTTTCCCTTCGGGTCTTTCCATTATATATATATATATATGTGTATACACATATATAAAGTACTGCGCTTCGTGGCCCCATAGGGGCCTCCACCGAAGCCCGCAGTGGGAAAGCACGCATGTGTCCCCCATACCCAATTTGTCACACCCCTCACACGTTCCGTGGCCCCACAGGGAGCTCCACCGAAGGCCCCAAAGCCACCGCCCGCATGCGTCCCCCACACCCAGTTTGGTACACCCCTCAAACGTTTCATGGCCCGTAGGGAGCTCCACCGAAGGCGCTGGTGCCACCGCCCGCATGCACACCCCTGCCACACGTTTCGAGGCCCCATAGGGAGCTCCACCGAAGGCCCCAGTGCCACCGCCCGCATGCGTCCCCCATACCCATTTCGGCACACCCCTCTTGCGATTAGTGGCCCCGTAGGGAGCTCCATCGAAGGCCCCAGTGCCACCGCCCGCATGCGTCGCCCACACCCATGTCTGTTCATCGGTCACACGCTTCGTGGCCCCATAGGGATCTCCACCAAAGGCTCCAGTGCCACCCGCATGCGTCGCCGCCCACGCTCAACTTGGCACACCCCTCGCACGTTTCGTGGCCCCGTAGGACGCTCCACCGAAGGCCACGGTGCCACCACCCGCATGCGTCTCCCACACCCAATTTGGCACACCCAGCACAGCGCTTCGTGGCCCCACAAGGAGCCCCACCGAAGGCTCCGGGACGTGCCACCGCCGGCATGCGTCTCCCACACCCAATTTGGCACACCCAGCACAGCGTCTCGTGGCCCCATAGGGAGCCCACCGAAGGCCCCAGTGCCACCTCCCGCACGCGTCCCCCATACCCATTTCGGCACACCCCTCATGCGTTTCGTGGCCCCACAGGGAGCTCCACCGACGGCGCCGGTGCCACCGCCCGCATGCGTCACCCACACCGATTTCGGCACACCCCTCACGCGATTCGTGGCCCCACAGGGAGCTCCACCGACGGCGCCAGTGCCACCGCCCGCATGCGTGTAGCTCCGCCCAAGGCCCTGGTGCCACCGCCCGCATGCGTCTCCCACACCCAATTTGGCACACTCAGTACAGCGTTTCGTGGCCCCACAGGGAGGCCCACCGTAGGCCCCAGTGCCACCTCCCGCATGCGTCCCCTGCACCCATTTCGGCACAGTTCTGCCACGTTTCGTGGCCACACAGAGAGCTTCACCGAAGGCCCCAGTGTCACCGCCCGCATGCGTCACTCACGCCCATTCCGACACACCCCTCACGCGTTTCTTGGCCCCACAGAGAGCCCCACCGAAGGCGCAGTGCCACCGCCCGCATGCGTCGCCCACACCCATTTTGGCACACCCCGCACACGTTTCGTGGCCCCACAGGGAGCTCCACCGTAGGCCCCAGTGCCACCACCCGCATGCGTCACCCACGCACATTCTGGCACACCTCTCACATGTTTCGTGGCCCCATAGGGAGCTCCACCGAAGGCGCCAGTGGCTTCGTTCGCATGCGCCCACCACACCTATTTCGGCACACCTCTCCCGCGCTTCCTGGCCCCATAGGGCATTCCACCGACGGCCCAAGTGGCTGCTTTCGCATGCGCCCACCGGGCAAATTTTGGCACACCTTTCACACGCTTCGTGGCCTTATAGGGAGCTCCTCCGAATGCGGTGCATACAACGACGGTGATCACAACTGCACACGGTTGGGTCCTTAACCAGGCTAATTTTCTCTCAACGGCGGACCGCGGGAAGTCAGGAGGGGAAACAAAAACACAGACACAATTTATTGCCGATTCCCTGGGGAATATGGGAGTATATGGGAATTGAGGGGGAAAACAGACACCCAGAATATATCTAAAAATATGGGAAATCCTGGGATTTGTGTGTGTGTGTATTTGTATGCCCTTGGGCCCCATTGCGGATCGGGTCTGGGAAGTTTCTCTTGGTGTTCGGGCTCCCGTGGCCCTCGGGCCCCGGGATTGTAAAGTCAAAACACAGCCCAAGGCAAAGAAGCTGGTCTGGGGGCAGAGCCTCGTGATCCAGGACCCGCTTCCCTTCGGTATCGTTTAACCGATCCCCATCCCCATCGCCATCCCCTTCGAGACCCCCACCAGACTACCACCCCAGTACGAAGAGCTGGCCTGGGGGTTAGAGCTTCGTGATTTAGGATCCGCTTCCCTTCGGTATCGTTCAGCTTCGAGACCCCCACCAGATTACCACCCCAGTTGGGGATACACCCCTCGAAACCCGAAGGGAACGGCCTATATCCCCATCAGGGGGGGTAAATCGGCCAGTAGGGCCCAGGCCACGCCGCTGGGGATGGGGGTCGGTCAAGCGATACTCATCCCTCAGGCCAGTTTCTTTCGTACCAAGTGCTGCGCGGGGCGGAGGCAGGCGACGAGATTGGGTCGACCAGCCCTGACCAGGCCCATCTTGGACCCAGGACCGGTGTGATGTCTCCCTGGCCAAACCAGGAAGGCGTACACGCAAACCTTCGGCCCAGGATGGGCCTGACCAAGGTCTGTGTACAGAGGCGATGTACAGTTGGACTCCTCCGCAGGATGAGACTCAGACCTGGGCTTATAGCCAGACTGGGACCGAGACCGAGACCCAGACTCGGACCGAGACCCAGATTCAGGTGAATGTCAGCACTCCGACCCAATGGCGACGCACAGACTCGGACCAACGTCGGACCCAGACTCGGTCTTTAATTCGGAGCCAGACGTGGACCCAGGTCGTGGCAAGACTCGGATTCGGAACCCGACCCACAATCTGGCTCGGACCCAGAGTCGAATCTAGCGGCGGCTCGTGCGCCCGTCCGCACTCAAGTCGCAGTTGCGAAGGGCTTGTGCGTTTTGTATATGTTTTCGTTGGAGTATCATGGAAATGAAGGTTGTTTATGGGCCCATATTTCCTTCAAGGCAGCTTTTGTTCAACGACCTCGGGGCCAGGGATCGGCGTCCAGAGGCCGAAGTCGACGAAAAACACGTGCTGCCGCGGTGCTGTTCTCGCGCCGCCCAGATCTGAAGGGAAGGCGAGGAGCAGGAGGAGCAGGAGGACAACGAGGAGGAGGACGAGGAGGAGGACGAGCAGGAACCTGAGGGGAGGGCGAACAGGAGGAGGAGGAGGAGGAGGAGGAGGACGAGAAGAAGGAGGAGGAGAGGGAGGAGGAGGAGGAGGAGGAGGAAGACGGCGACGCTGTGTCCTATGAGGACGACTGGGCAGGCAACGACGCCGCGGACTGGCTTCCTGGGGAAGCTGCCGCTTGCCGCTTGCCGCCGCCCCTGCTGGTCAGCAAACGGCTGCGGCAGCTGCAGGCGCTGAGGGCAGTGCAGCGCATGCCTGCCGCCGTCGCGGCGTTGAGATGGCCGCAGTGGCGGCGAACCGCAGCAATGTCGGCGCAGAAGACCCTCGCGCACGACGGCGCTAGGCGATACTGGGCCCTGTCGCCGACGCCGCGCGCCCCGCGAGGGGGATGACGCGGACGTCGAGGCCGTGACGGCGCCGCCGCCGGCCCCGCGCTTGCCGGCGCCCTCTGGCGCCTGGGGGCGGCGGCCGCAGCGCGGGCGTTGTTCGCTTGAGCAGCGTTCGGGTATAGCCAGGACCCCATGTAAGGGAACCCGTTTAGTGGTAGGGCCCCTGAGCCTTTAAATTGGCCAGAATCACTAAAACCAGGTCTGTCGTAGCTGGTGTTTTTTTCGGGTTGCGGCAGCTCCGGCTATTGGAATGGGACGGGGGGGGGGCGCCCCCGGGTACACATCACTAAACCAGGTCCCACTCAACCCAGTTCTGCCGTCGCCCGAGGCCTGCACGT